CACAACAGTCTTCACTTTACAAAATGACTGTGCCATGACTTTGCAAAGAACGTCCAGGGAGGCGTCGCTGAGGCTGCACTTATTCAACTCCAACACCTGCAGGTCCTTGTTGGTAATGAGCACTGAGCAAAGCTTCTCCCAGAGGCCCAGCTTCCGGTTCCTGTGGGAGAACAGAGGTGGTGAAATCTCCGGAGAATCCTCACGAGCAGCACAGTTTTATTTCCCTAAACCCACTCAGAGTGGACAGAAACCTTGAAGAGAGAGATGTTTACACACGCAAGCAAACGGAGCCAATGTGGTATCAGAGCCACGCATGTAGAGTCTGGGGACAGTCGCCGGAACCACGTCCCGACTGAAGCCTGGCTGGGCTAACTCATGACCTTGGGCCATCTCCTCCACCGTAACTCTGCCTCTTCCAAGTGAGAAGAAAACTTATGGTTGTGGTGTCAAGTGTAAGGTGTGGTGAGCTCATGCTCATCAGAGCAGAACTGGGCTCCCAGGGTTCAGGGGTGGAGTTCGGGGAGAGGAGCAAGCCTTCCCTTCAAGTCGCCTCTGGATGGTATCAACTTGAAGCCTCTTGATTAGCAAGAGTGCTTAACTGTAAACCCTACGGGAGGGAAGTGAGAACATTTGGACACGAGATTAGGAGTTAATACTTCTTTCCCTTGAAGCAAAGACTCAGTGAATTAGGATCTACCTGGATCACGATCAAAAGGAAAAACTCTGTAAACAAGAACTTCAAAGTCCTATGGAAACTGCATTTACTGGAGTCATTGAGATGGATAGAAGCCCCAAATACAGTGACCAGAACTTTTTAACCTTGTACCCACACTATCCCATGAAGTCATTGTTGTTGTGTTATCACTGAGTCAGAACTGACCCATAGCTGACCCTCTGGCGGGTTTTCAGAGGCAGTTAATCACCTGGGAAGACACTGCCCATCCTTCTCCCGCGGAGCAGCTGGTGGACTTGAACTGTGTGCCTTTGGGACTCCAGCTCTGCTTCTTGCCAGTAGGCCTCAAGAGTTCTCTGTAAATTCATTGTTGACTAAAATTCTAGCCAGTCAATTTGAGTCTAGTGCTTCTAGCAACTACTTACCTATGAGTATATGCAGACAAAATGAATCTGAAGAGTTAGAACGACAAGAGTCGGTCTAAATGAAATCTGATGCAACAATATGGAAATGTGCTGGTGACATCTATAATGACTATAGATGGTACGAATGTATGTGTTTTATCATCATACTATTATTCTGAACCAAATCGAAGAACATGTTATAGTTTAAAAAAAACCCACAAAAACAGCTACTCTTTAGGGATCCCTCAGTGAATGGAAAATTGTACCCAGAAGGCAATCTTCTGAACAGAGGTATGTATTTGAGAGCTAAGCCATGAAACGGGCTTGTAAATCCAAGGACTATGGGAGACAAATTCAAGCAGGGGGACTAGAAAATCTTCTCGCCTTTTCAGTTCACCAAGCTCTACGAAGTAGATAAGAGTTTTGTCCTTCCTGATACAGAGGGACAAACACCAAGATTTGATGGGTCACCATAATGTAGATAGCAATTACTAGTGCCAGGGCTTAAAACCTCCTTTGACTAAGAAAAGTCCTATTACCGAGCCCCAAGGTTTTACAGGGGGTGGGGGCAGACTATAGATAGGGT